AACGGGTCCAAGTGGCTCTTTTTGTCTTAAAGGTTGCAGACCCCTGGGATAAGGAAACAGAGATCTGTATTTGCTCCCCAGTGTCAATCATATTCATGTTTACTTAGAAGTAAGGTCCATTGGTTTCAATGGACTTTTCAGTTATGACTTCTAAGGGGTGCTTCAGTTATGTGGAAATAAAATCACATGGTTATCAGGATATTTTTTTAAAGGCTGTATTTTAAGATTTCCCCCCTTTAAAATTGAAACCGGGATCAGATTAAGTAGAAAGGGTAAATTGCCAGAATATTCTATCTCACTGAATGTTTTGCTTTTTTATATCCTTGTAAAGAAGCAGAATACAGTGGTACCTCGGGTTACATACGCTTCAGGTTACAGACTCCGCTAACCCAGAAATATTACCTCGGGTTAAGAACTTTGCTTCAGGATGAGAACAGAAATAATGCGGCGGTGGCACAGCGGCATCAGGAGGCCCCATTAGCTAAAGTGGTGCTTCAGGTTAAGAACAGTTTCAGGTTAAGAACGGACCTCCGGAACGAATTAAGTACATAACCAGAGGTACCACTGTAGATAAGTCAGATGTGCAAAACTGTGAATTTTATTTTAAATACAAAGATCATAACTACAGTATTAGCCATTGTTCTTTTTGTAAACATTTCATTTTGCTCGCATCAAAATGACTTAGTTAAAATTTTAAGCCACAGCTTTGTAAGACTGCTGTGGACTAATTATACCTTTAAAACACATTCGAAGCACATTTCCCCCTCAAAGAATTCTGGGCACTGTGGTTTATCCTTTGCCGAGTTGCCATTTCTAACACCCAGAATTATTTGAAGGAGGAAAATGTGCTTTGAATGTGCATCAGAGGTATAGTTTGCATGCAGCCTAAAAAGAGTAATTACATCCTGGATGTAAAATACGCTTGCTCAGAAGAAAATAAGTTGCTTTCAGTTCTATTTGAGTGGCCCAATTTTAAAGCCACGCTCCCGCTGATTTTGCAATTATAGGGCATGATCCAGCTAAAGTTAAGTACATATCCCATTTCAGTGAGTAAGCTAAGTACATACTAAACTTTCCCTCTCCCCCTAAATCACTTTTTTCCTTTATTTTGACTGGATTGTGCTTGCGCATTTTTAATATATTTTTATACTAATGATCATGTATCTTTAAACAAAAATACTCCAAGTAACAAAGCTTCCTAAAACACATTAAGCAAATATTTATTTAAAACATCGTGTCACTTCTTTTTGCGAAGGGGAAAAATCGACTGCTCAGTCCCATGACGTTGAAAACTGGGTTGGGGGGCTGAGGGTAGGTCTGCATCTACTGACAGATCTCTGCGTGATTTGCAGTAGATTACAAAGGATTTCTGACTTTTAGCTGGTTAACAAAAGCAGCAACTTTCCTCCCCAAATTAGGCTACTGAAATGAAGGAAGCTTGAGAGGATAGACTCATGGACCAAATACCGTATATTTTGCTCTATAAGACTCACTTTTCCCCTCCTAAAAAGTAAGGGGAAATGTGCGTGCGTCTTATGGAGCGAATGCAGGCTGCACAGCTATCCCAGAAGCCAGAACAGCAAGAGGGATTGCTGCTTTCACTGCGCAGCGATCCCTCTTGCTGTTCTGGCTTCTGGGATTCAGAATATATTTTTTGTTTTCCTCCTCCAAGAACTAGGTGCGTCTTGTGGTCTGGTGCGTCTTATAGAGCGAAAAATATGGTAATTGTGTGTGTGTGCAGTGCTGTAAGCACAATTTGGGCAATGGAAACGAAATCCTGGGCTCAGATGCATCCTTTTGAGCGTTGCGTTCCTTCGTTCTAAGTGTATGCCTATTCCTCTTTCGAAACCTCTCTTTCGCACTCAGCTCCAGCTGTTGGGCTTCGGGTGCTAAGAGAAAGAAAAATAGATAACATTCGCTTGAAGTCCACCTGCTCCTACTTTACACAAATCAAAGTTGACTCAATAAAAAATATCCATTGCCATTTGCTTGGTTTCTGCATCTTTCGAGGTCAACTTAGCAACCTCCTGTCCATTAAGCTTTCCGTTGTTTAGAAGCTTAATATTTCAGGATGGGGAAAGCGGAATTATTTGTAGATGTATTTATGTGACACACCAATTTCTGAGTTTTCATTTAATGCAACACAGTTGATATATTTAATGTATTCTCTCGCGCCCCCCCACCCCCGGTGTGTGTGTTTTAGTAGTTCTTGTTTTTATCTGTAAGCTGCCTTGAGTCCCGTCAGGGAGAAGGACTGGGTAGAAATAAATAGGATCATGATAATGTAGGAAGTTTCTGGTTTCTGAGAAAGAGCTGCCATGACAAGGGGCTTATTATTGTTATTTAATTCATTGAGGAACCACTTCCTATGAAGAACTTCCCAATTCAAGAAGAACTTGCATAAAATGTTTCATATATAAAAAGTTAAAACAGTTATATGAGAGAGAGAGAGAGAGAGAGAGAGAGAGAGAGAGAGAGAGAGAGAGCGAGCCAGCCCTATCCGGTATGAGGACAGAGATAAACGATACAATACAATACAATACAATACAATACAATACAATACAATACAATAATCTTTATTGCCATTGTCCCATACAGAACAACAAAATTGGAAAAAATCTACATCAGACATTCAAAACCAACAAGCCTCCTATCCCAGCCTAGTTAGCCCCCTAAAAACTCTGATACCCCATAATTAAATACAGTATACTCCCACAGAGACTACCTTGCACTGCATTTAAAACCAAAATCGCATTTGGATAGAACCTGTATCTCAGGCGGCTAGTCCTAGTCTTTATAACCCTGTACCTTCTTCCAGAAGGCAGAAGCTGAAAGAGATCATTTCCGGGGTGCGCACTATCCTGCGCTATCTCTGCCGCTTTCTTATGGCACCTGGAAGCATAGATTTGATCCAAGTTGGGAACAGTGCACCCAGTTATTCTCTCCGCAGTCTTTACAACCCTGGACAGCATTGTTTTTCCCCTGACCAACTCCCAAACCACACACACAGACCATAAGTTAATACACTCTCCACAGTACAATGGTAAAATGCCATCAACAGGTCCTTTGAGAGATTGTTTTTCCGGAGGATTCTCAGAAAATATAACCTCTGCTGTATTCCATGTATAAAAAGGATTTCAAATACAATACAGATGCCAACTGATGGCTTGAGCATCAGGTAATGTGGACTTGGAAGGTGATAGCTATGCTTATATATAGACAGGCTAGTAAAACAGGGCAGCCCGATAATAAAAACCAAACAATCTGGTAGCTGTGCAGGATGCAGTCCAGCCTAGAGCAGACACAGAGTCCCAGGTGATCGATACTGGCAAGTTTATCCTGTACCTCAGTCTTTTATGCCCAGGGAGCCAATTTGAAAGGTGGAAACCTACCTTTCCTGTACGCTCCACCTTTCCTGAATCAAGATGTCGTTTAACACAAGTACCTTAGGCACTGCGGAATGAAAACGAGAGACCCAGCACAGCTATGTATTTTTTATCGTCCCAGTAAAGAAGCCAGCATTCCACACAAGCTCCCCACATATATAGAGCCCTCTCCGAGTGATCAGAACAAATATCAGAAATATAAGGTCACGTTACACGCCCAGGCTGACATTCACCTGATAACGCAGGCAAGGTGTGTGTGGAAAGGGGGGGGGACACTAACAGCCGCGGTGCCATTTCTTGGGCTGGGGCACGTTCCATACAAGATCTTAGGTGGCCAAATGGAAAAGGTGGTGCTGAGGGAGCCCATAGACCCAAGAAGCGGCCATAATTTTTCTCTACACACCTGTTCATTATTCAGAAGCCTGCTGCCTTCTTTTGCATCCGGTCATTCTGCTGGAGGACGAAAGAGTCTAGGAATCTTGGTGTTGTTTTTGAAAATTTAGCCCATAGTTTAAGAGATTTGTTGGAGCAAAAAGCACAAATGTCTGTTTTTAGGTCTCTGTGTGTGTGTTGGGAAGAAATAAAATGAATTTGAGGAGGAGGGAAAATAGCAATGGAAAAGACCTGACCGCCTTTTTCTGATTTTGACATCTTCCCACTCTTTGACCCGTGTGCCTGAACCAGGACATATCAGTTGTATATTCCTGCTTTCGGGCAAGAAGACAGAACAGAGCGTTCCAAACTGTGTGTCACGACACATGAGTGCGTCGGCTGCAGTGTGTCAGTGTGTCGCGCGAACACTCCTCCCGGGGCTGCAAAGGGGTTACTTTGCTAGTAAAACTGAATGACGGTGTCACGAAATGATGCATGTCTAAAAAAGTGTGTCATCAACATGAAAAGTTGGGAGGCAGAAAGTCTCTCTGTGTGAGTTTCTCCTTCTTTCTGTTAGAAAGATTTGCAGTATCTCCCAGAAGTGTGTTGGTTGTGTGTGTTTGTGTGTCTATCTGGGTATCTGCTTGCGAAATCTCCCGATGCAAATCATTGTTATCCTTCACGCCAGCCCATAAACCTGCACACCGTCAAAGGGAACCTGGGATATTCAACTGCCCTTAAAGAAAACTCAACGAAGCCATCCCTCCCTTGTTTATTAATCTACAAGAGTGTTCCTATAATACCAGTCATGTGAGGTCCAGGATCTAAGAATGGAGCTCGCAGCACAGTGCACCAAATTGTTTTTGAGAAAACCCTCCCTCACCAGCCACCACCACTGCTGTTGCTGCTGCTGTTGCCACCACCACTGCCCCCCCTTGTTTCTCCAGGGCTTAAGAGGAGAAAATCCCAAACCTTCGGATCTAAATGCCCAGAGAAGTCCTGGGCTGCAGAATCTCTTACCCAGCTCTAAATCTCTTTTCAATTCAGGTTAAGCTTCTCTTTTTATTACAGATTATAGGGATCTCCCACTGTATCACTTCTGGGTTATCCTTTTAACACATTTTGCTCTTTCTAGCCGGGGTTATTTTTTGTGGTTTCCTGGGGTTGGGAAGAAGGAGCTGCCCTTGGTTTTTCCTCATTTGATCCATCTCCAGAACAAATCTCTGTTATGCTTCCTTGCAGAGGTACCCGGAGGCTCCCGGTCTGGACACCTGGGCACTGGAACTGCTCTCGGGAGAAGGTAAGGCAGATTCCCCCAACCCACCCAAAAATAAAACTGGTGTGCTTGTGTGCGAGAGAGAGAAGGCAGGACATTGTGCCACTACTGCGGAAATTCAATGGATGTTAGTTGGCCATGTAGGTAAGAACCGAAGTTGAGTGGGAGAGATGGTTGTTGTTACCCTGATGTGAGTTGACCTAGGAATTTTCCAACCATACAAGGAGTGACTTCAACTATCTTGCGATCCAGCCAAGGTGTCTTTGGCCATTTATAATCTCAATGTCCACCTGAAATTTTTCATTCATCCCATGCCGCCTCGTCAAAAGAATCCCAGGCGATCTGGAAGCTCAGCTAACCCCATCTTGGAAAGTCACCATTTTACCTCTTTTGGGTGTCCTCTCTAGAAATCGTGGGTCGCCCACTGCAGCAAACAGTCTGGCCATCTCGCTGATGCCGCAAATAGATCTGCGTTTTCCATTGTGTGTATATCCTGTGGAAGATTTGCCACAATGGCAAAACTTAATTTCAGTATGTTCGATAAAGGGGTGGCACACAATATAATGAAACGTTTACACGCGTTGCTTTCTTTAATTGCACCATTTAGATATAAATATAATTGCCTTTTCTTCAGTTTTGTAATCTAAGCTGTAAAGATGTCGTCCACGTTTAGTTTACCCCTTTTTCTGTGTTCTGAAAACAAGACATAATGAGATCTAAGCTGGGAAACACTGGCATATTTTATGGGATAAATGGGGGAAGGAATTGACCTCTGTCAAATTACTCTGCAGAGTCCGCTAACAACCATCAATGTCGTATCTAGAGATGCGTAGTGTATATTCAGCTTCTGTTACAGTATTGGCATTTCGTCTCATTTGATGGCTGGGAAGCATATTTATAGCAAAGCTGGAAGATAGATAGATGTAAAAAGCTATGGAGTTTTCTAAATAATGTTTCAAAGTGTATACAGTGTATGTATAAACATAAAATCAGTGAAAGGGGGTTGATTCAGTTTCAATCATCTTTTTTCAAAGTATTGACCGTCAAAGCAACATTTCAAGCAGACCCTACAGATTAAAACTTTTGAAATTAAGAATTAGATAAAATGGCCGCACTAACAATATATTTTGAGGGGTTGTTTGCATTGTTCTTCAAAAAGAACCCTCAAGTTTTGGGTCGATGTAGATTGTGTTTTCAGCTTTTTTGCAATTATTTTAAAGAATTTAGAACAACAACAACACAACAACAACAAATAAATAAAAACCAGTGTTTCTCTGATAATTATAAGCATTTAATGAATGTGGAGGAGCTCTGTGGGGTTTTTTTTTTTAAAGGAAAATGTTTAAAACTTGATTTTACTTTTATTTTTTGGTAAATGTATGTGGTACACGCAGAGAGAGACTATTTTAAAGGATTGTCCTGATCTGATTTGTATAAAAATAACAACAGCAACCAAAGCTTTTTGTTTGTTTGTTTCAAAGGATTCTCACTGCATTCTTCCTGCCGCTATATAAATCTATAATCCGAGACACTGCAAAGAGATGACAACATTTTAAATGGGAAAATATCTGGGGCAAAACACCATCTGCCCACTCAAAACCTCTTCAGACTTGCATATTTCATTAAGCCAAAGAGAGGTTTATCAGTTTCCTTACATTAAGGAGCTCATATCTTTCTGGATTTCAGGCATTTGTACACAGATATTAGACTTTTCTTTTTCTTTTTCCTTTTTTGCTGTTGCTTTCCTAATAAAAAACAAATCAGTTAAAATTTGCCTTTAAGGGGAAAAAACTCCCATTTCTTAACGGTTTTTTTTTTTAAAAAAAAACTAAATTCATTTTAAGCTGTTCTTGCTGAAATAAAAGGAAATAAATAAAAGGGGAACATAGATAACGAAAAAGAATTCAGCATTTAATTTATCCAGGTTGGCAAATCCTCTGCTAGTTTTCCAACGCTCTTTCTAAAGGAGTTTAACAGGGCAACCCTGCACATGTAAATATTAATCTATCCTAAAGAGTTTAACAGAGCAAACCTGTGAAACAACCATTGAGTTCAATGTGGGTGCCCTCCAGGTAAGTGTGTTTAGGCTTTGGGGGAAATATAATTCCTCTGTCTTATATATACCCATGCTATCAGGTGAAACACAAGCCCCTTTGGGCTTTTGCTTGAACACAACAAACAAACAAATAAAGAAGAGCACAATTATTATTATTATTATTATTATTATTATTATTATTATTATTATTATTTTAAAAGAAACCTTGGTCTTTTTTATTTGATTATCAAGGCTATCAATATAGACGTGTGAAGCTATAGAGTTTCTGGCAGGGATTCAAAGAGCATTTGCGGCAACAGATGGGAGCTGCAACAAAATGTTGCAGCGCGGGGACGCTTTCGTTGGCTGTGCCTTAGCTCACGACACTTCATTCTGTCCCGTTTCCCATCTAGCTGTCCTCTTCCTCTCTTCCTTCTCCAAAAATCCAAACTGTCTTCCAGCATTCTGTGGCCCCCCCCCCGAGAGGGCACACCGTTCTCATTGGACTGTTTTTTTGGGAGGAGTCTCTTCAGGTTTTCCTCCACCTGAAAGGCTTCTGCGTCCGTGCCAAATTCCTTTTCCCTGTGCGAGGTTGAGAACGATTAACTGCAGAGAGAACAGCACTACCATCCATGAAAACTGGAAGCAGAGGGAACAGAAATTTATTTATTGCACCTCGAGTGTCCAAAACACTACATTATTATTATTATTATTCTGCCACAGCCCTTGAAACAACATAGTGGGTTAGGCCAGACTCACAACTAAAGCATCCCTGGCGGATGTTCACCCAACCTTTGCTGAAAAACCTCCAGGAAAGGAGATTCCAGCACCTTCCACTGTCAAACAGATCCCGTATGGTTTTTAATTTCATTTTTAGTGCTTCTTCTATTGCATTTTGCTGTACTGCAGTTTGAATTCCATGGAACTCCGATTGTGAGGGTTATTCACAGACAGCCAGAATGAGGCTCACAGGCCACTGGTGGTCTGCGGACCACAGTTTGGGAACCCCCTAAAGTCTGCTTCCCACAAACCAGGAGAGGCTTTAGCCAGAGGGGACGATGACTTTGAGGGTCCCTCATGCGGCCAGAAAATCCTGAGCAGCTTGTCTCCCTGCTCATATCAAGTATTAAGGCTGCTCTCTTGTGAATTAGCCACCCCAGCGGTTCCTGGTTGAGACCAGAGAGGCAGGATGTAAACTTGATGGAAAACATAAATGAATTAAACGCGAGCAAATTGGGCCATGCAGCAGTGGCGTAGCGTGGGGGGTGCAGGGGGGGCCGGCCGCACCGGCCGCAACATCTGGGGGTTAGGGTTAGGGGGCGCAAATCCACGGGTTAGGGGGCGCAAATTACTTGCCTTGCCCCGGGTGCTGACAACCCACGCTACACCACTGCCATGCAGCCTGTTCCTCCTATGCCCGCTTGCTAAGAAGCAAGTCTGAGTTCAGTAGAATTTACTCCCGAGTCCCAGGTAAGTGGGCATAGGATTGCAGACTTAGAATGTGTTGTGCCACAAAACAACAACAACAACAGCAGCAGCAGCAGCAGCAGCAGCAACATCATATTGGGTGTTTTGGAAGAGGAAAATATCCCTTTAAAATTATCAAGGAATCTAGCTCTGTCCCACTCCAGGCCAGCTTTTTTGGAATGGAGAACACATTGCTTAATTAAACGTCAAAGGGCATTTTCAAAAGCAATGCTAAAGACATCTTTTTGTCTGTACCTCTTAATGAATACTGTTGCTGCAGTATGAAGCCAAATTTCAGGCACCTTGTGGTCAGAGCAGGGTATTTGTTCAGACAATAGACATGAAGGTTCTGTGGAGAGCTTGCTATTGATCCAACATAATCAAAACTCAATATCCGCCTCTGTTAACCATTCGACTTTGCCAGTTTTTTACAAACCTTTCCCATCTTTTTCTATTGTTATTATGTTTTTACTGAAATTTTATTGGTGTTAGCTGCCCTGAGCCCGGCTCTGGCCGGGGTATAAATAAAAATTTGTTATATTATTATTATTATCTGGGTATGTGCTTTGCAACCGAGAAATTTACACCTGTTTCTAGCTGTTTAAATTCCCCCGGGGAAATTATTTGGAGTAGATTTCAAAAACTGGAGAATAATAACTGGAGAAATTTAAGAAATGATAGTGAAGAATAACTGTGGGGAGGTGTTATTGTTTGTCACTATGGCATAATTTTTGTGTTTTTATATGGTAAACCGCCCTGCGATCTTCGAATGAATAGTGGCATAGAAATTTAAAAAATAATAATTAAAACAATAATAATAGATGTAGACCAGTTTTATTCAAGTTCAAAAAAGGCTGTTGGGGTGTTGATAAGTCATGAGGCAACATGACTTATAGCATCTTCTTGACTGTCAAAATTTAGGAATACAGTATTTTTTCCTCTTTAAGTGAAAGCCTCTGCTCAGATAGGAAAACACGTTTTGCCCCCAAACCATCCTTAGTCTTCCTTCTCTAGATATCTTATCTAAGGTGTTGAAAAGCATATAACTGCCTGTCTGTCACTTTTTGTGTAAGTGTGTAGTTGTGTATGTGTGTCACCATTCAGTTCCTTTCTTTGTTTACAAGGTCAACCCACACCTCTTAATTGGAAGGGAAGCTATTTGCAGGGACAAATAATTGTGTGTGAGGGAATTCTCTGCAAACTTGCCATTTGACTTTGCCTTGCTATAGATTTGAGAGCTGCTTGTTCTACCCCTGGGAAAGGAAGGGCTTTCTTTCTTTCTTTCTTTCTTCTTTCTTTCTTTCTTTCTTTCTTGCCTTCCTTCCTTCCTTCCTTCCTTCCTTCCTTCCTTCCTTCCTTCCTTCCTTCCTTCTTCTTCTTCTTTGAATAACTTTATGGTGTGTTTTTTTACAAATATGGACCATAGGAATAATAAATGGTGGAAATAAATAGGCCAAGTCTTCTCCTCGCATTGTTTGCAATAAATAGATTTGCAGCAACGCCTGCCACATAACGGTTCATGATTTGAACAATAGGCTCATGGGCCACGAATTGGTTTACAGGAAAACAGGATAGAACAGAGATAAGGGCGGTGGGCTCCCTTTTCTATAACCTCTTCATTGTTTGCCTCTGGAGTTGGAAATCTAAAGCTGGAGGGATGCGGTTAAGGTGGGGAAAAGGAAGAAGCAGCAGGAGAGCTAGCCAAACAAAAGAGAGAAGAAGGCTGCCAGCATCTTCCAAGCCCATTATCATTAGTGATTGATTCCCTGATGGATTTAGGAACAAAGGAGGCTTGGGGAGGGAGAGGGAGAGTCTTCTGGGGGGGGGGCAGAGAATTGGTTCACGTAGCTGTATCTCCCCCAGTACTGCGTGTGTCCCATAGCTAGTCCTTCCCAATTCCGGAAATGCATCCCAGAGAAATCTAGGTTGCACCTGAACCTCCGTGGATCCAGCTGCAGACCAGACTTCCGCTGATGCCGATGAGATTTTGAACTTCCTCGATCCCGCCTTCTGTCCATCTTTCTGATTCGCTGTGTTAAAAGCAGAAGGAGAGAGAAAAGTATAAAAGCTATAGTTCTGCACGCAACGCCTAGCTAAACTGCGGAATGCGGAACTGCCTCCCACAGGAAGCAGCCAGTGATGGCCGCCAGCCTGAACGGCTTTAAAAGAGGATTAGGCAAAGGAACGTAGAAAGGGACCCACGAGGGTCATCTAGTCCAACCCCCTGCAATGCAGGAATCTTTTGCCCAGCGTGGGGCTCGAACCCATGACCTTGAGATTAAGAGTCTCACGCTCCACCGACTGAGCTAAAATCATGGGAAATAAGGTTTTCCCAGAGGCATCTCCTTAGCCGCTGCAAGAACCACAGTTCCCGGGATTCTTACTTGTGAGGGATGTGCTTTAAACGCCTGGTGTGTCTGCTGCCTCCTCTGTTAATTTCGGCGGTGAGAAAGTGGTACCCATACAGGCCTTTAATAGCATCTTTTGTGGCTCGTCCTCCTGCCTTTGCTGAGATCCTTCTCCCTTTTCCTTCTGTTGAAGTGAGTCCTTCTCTAGGATAAGGACTGCAAAAATAGAGACCAATGAATGGGGAGGATGCTCTGTTGGGCCATCTGCCCTGCTCTTTGGGACAATGTGGCTTTCCCAGCCATGTCTTTTTCCTGGATAAAGGTAAAGGGTAAGGGACCCCTGACCATTAGGTCCAGTCGTGACCGACTCTGGGGTTGCGGTGCTCATCTCGCTTTACTGGCCGAGGGAGCCGGCGTACAACTTCTGGGTCATGTGGCCAGCATGACTAAGCCGCTTCTGGCGAACCAGAGCAGCGCACGGAAACGCCGTTTACCTTCCTGCCGGAGCAGTACCTATTTATCTACTTGCACTTTGACATGCTTTCGAACTGCTAGGTTGGCAGGAGCAGGGACCGAGCAATGGGAGCTCACCCCGTTGCAGGGATTCGAACCGCCAACCTTCTGATCGGCAAGTCCTAACCCACAGCACCACCCGCGTCCCTTTTCCTGGATAGAGGCATCCTTTTTGGGGGGAAATGTTCTAGGCCCATTGTTTGTCTGCTTTGAGTACCAAAGGCCTCAGGTTTAGTCTGTGGCAACTCCAGGAAGGGCTGGGAGAAAAGCCATGCAGTAGTGGAAATATCAGCAGTCACCGAAGAACTCGAGGCTAGAAAGTCCATGACTGGCTTACTGCCTTCAGGCTGAGAAGCAGACCTCCTGATTCTGTGGGGCTTCAGTGTCTACTTCCCTCTCCCTTTTTACCAGCCAGAGATAGCTCTTTACTCTAAGGTAACCCAGATTTAGGGCAGTTTCCGTCACATTTTCAAACGCGCCAGGCTTTCCTCAGCACACGAAACCTGCACACGTCGTATGCTCTCCTCTGTATCCTTTGGAAGACGGAAAAACCGAAATGGAAAACTGCAGCTTCTCTCCCACTTGGCAGAGAAGTTTGTTTTCTCTGTCTCTTTGTCTTGTTGCAACCCATTCCTGCGAGGCTCAGCATCTATCCCTGGAACCCTCATTTAATCCATTCACAATTTACAGGCCCGCTTCTCATAAAACCTTGGCGGTTAAGCAAAACAAGCGATGTTAAAGTGCAGTTGGCAAATTCTGCCACCGCCAAACCACGCCTCAGGTTTCTTAATGGCAGAGAGAGGGAATACCACGAAACATTCTCTAGTCTAGAGAGATAAAGCCTGGTCCCCAAACTGGCTTTACCAGAGCCGAAAAATTCAGAAGGATGTTGATGGAGGGTTGGTAGAATTTCAAAGAATTAGGCCCGTTGTTTTATTGCACTGTTCTATCTTGTTCTCAATGTTGAGAAATGTGGAATTGCTTGCAATTTCATTTTGCTCCCCGATTTCAGGGTTGTAGGTCTGTTGTGCTGGGCTACCATGCGGTGAGAGCAAAAGGCACTCTGCACATGCTCGTCCTTACTTGTGGCGCAGCTGAGTCCTCGTGCTGCGCCCTTGTGAGCCCTAACCAAGTCCTAAATATTATTTTCAAAAATTGGCGTGCCTGCCTTTCGTCTGAAGATCACAGGGCGGTTCACAGCATAAAAATACAAAATAAGAACGCAGAATACATAATAAAGCAAAACCAAAAGCACATTTAAAAGGCCATAGTGTGTTACTCAGCCAAAGGCCTGGTTATAGAGAAACTTCGCCTGCCACCTACAGATATTTAATGAAGGTGCCAGCGAGTTTCCCTGGGGAGAACATTCCACAAACAAGGAGAATATACATATACACACTAGATTAAGAAGGCTAAGAGTTTCATCCTAAATTTAAATTGACAGGTAAATTAGTATAACAATAGTTAGCATATACATGGCACCGTATTTCTCTCTCTCTCTCTCTCTGTGTGTGTGTGTGTGTGTCATATTTACAATAATCCTGAAGGGTAGGTCAGTATTATCACCATGCTGTAGTGGACTGGGCAGGGGAGTGGATGAAATGAGGCTAAGGTAGGATTTGAACTCGTGACTTTCAGATTCATTCAGCCGCTACACCGCACAATGTTTTGTATATGTTTACACTCAGTTCCCTTAGAATTGCACGCTTCCTTTTTTGAAACAAACAAACAAACAAAAAGCCCCCTCAGAAGTTTGAGGGGGGAAACTATTCTCAGGAGGAGGGAAGCAAGCGAACTGCTGTATATTGCAAAGCATTGAATTTGAGAGGCCAAACTTCTACAAGAGGTGTGCAGAATCCTTCCCTGCCTCCAGAATCCTTTCCCCCTCCAAAAACCCCAGGCACCACTGTGAGTCCTTAATGTGTTGACTTAACCTGCTCATTTAGGTAATAATAGACCCTCAAAAGCATGGGCCTGATGGCCTATTGGTACCCATTAGACCCCCCTTTTGAGTTGCTAAAATCCCAATCTCTCCCCCCAAAACCCTCCAGCTTTCTCTGTATCATTACTGACTGTATGGTAATGTGCAATTCAAATTAAAAGGGGGGGGGAGAGAAGTAGGCAGTATACAGAGTGGGGAAGAAAAAGGCACCCCATCCCATATTCAAAGGATACGGAACCCCCTGTAGTTTGTTTATTTATTTATTCGGCTGCCAGTGAGGTTCTAGGCTTTGCAGGAAAGTCAGAGTCCTCCTTGCATGGACCACCTCTGGAGGGTTAGCCCAGAAGGACACCAGAAAGGTGTGGTGTCTTCTCTCGCTTGCCATTGGTCAACCTCTCTCTCCTCCCCACCTCTCCCTCCTTGGGGAGGCGGCCACTAAACTCCTGGTCTTGTCTGTCTTTGCCTCCTGGCTGCAGTTCCAGCTGCCCTTGGGTGCTGAGTGGAGGACCAGGGTGACCTAGGAGGCTTCCAGCCAGCCAGCCAGCCAGAAGCAAGAGCGAAGGAGCAGTAGCACCAGCAGCAGAAGACCTCTCTCCCCAGCGAGATCTTTGGGGACCCCAACCTTCTGAGCATGATGTCCTACATCAAGCAACCACATTATGCAGTCAACGGCCTCACCTTGGCTGGGCCAGGCATGGATTTGCTACATTCGGCCGTCGGGTACCCCAGTAAGTGGATTTGCAAGATTCCCCCCCCCCTTTTTTTGGGTCAGTTTTCAGTTTTGGAGGAAACTTGGGCGATGGGCATCACTGGGTTGGTTCTTGGTAGGCAAAGGATGGAGAGGCGTAACTGGGTTTTTCTTTTTTCTATGAATTGAAACCAGTGGGTTATTGGGTAGCGAGGGAGAATTCAGCTAGTTGGCCAAATGTGGGGAAAAAGAGAATAGAAACTGTTTCCTGTTTGGTTTGGGGATCAAAACAAACCGAATGTGCAAATATTGAATTATATTATTATGGATCGTGATAAATGTTCTTACTCTACTATTTATCAAATTGCATGTGTTTAAAGATGAAATGCCCCCAGTTTTTATATATAAATATAAATATATATACTATTTTTATATTTAATTGTAAAATAAGTATATTTTAAAATAAGTATGTGTGTGTGTTAGTGTGTGTGTACACACACACACACACACACACACACACCCCTATTTTACAATTAAATATAAAAATAGTTTTGGAGGTTCATATTCAGGTACTGAGACCATGATAAATTAAATGAATGAAAAATGTTTTCAAAAACATCACCAGTTTTGAGATGGTATTTCCAGTTTTTTTTTGCATTCATAGATGCTTAAATTGCCTTCCCACCACCAGGGCAGATTTTGTTGAAAATGTGTTGAAAAACTTCTGCATTCCAGTTTGTTGAGGCATCATTTGGTCATATATATATATATATATATATATATATAGTATTTGAGATTTTGATTTTGATATGTAGCAGCCGCTACATATTATTTTTTAAACCTATCTTGTGGTTTACAAGTTCCAAAGGTTCCCTAGAAAGAGATCCATTTAAATGAGCCAGTTCATGCAGACATATTTGTGATCACAATGGGCAGGATTCAGCCAAAGTAAAGTCATTAATAATAATAATAATAATAATAATAATAATAATAATAATAATAATAATAATACTGCCCTTCATTCAAAGTTCTCAGGGCGCTCTTATAAAAACCTGTAATGTTATCTGGATCCTAGTTTGCTGTCCACGCCCCCCCCCAAGCAAACAAACCCCAAGCAAAACACTGGATGTTCACAGATTCCTTGTGGATTACCCAAAAGTGCATTTTTGGACGTTGAAATAATTGAAACTTAAGGGGGAACCCCTAAGTCAATAACTCCCTGCTCCCCTGCCTAGTTCAGGTGTTCTGGAGCAGGTTAAGAATCTAAGCAACTAATAGCAGGACATAATTGCTTTTCATGTTATAGACGCTAAACTTCATAGCAACATTGCCTAGTTAATGTCACAATAATTTTTTAACCCAGACTGTTTCCAGGTGGAGGAAACCTTCCTAAATAAAGCTAGACCATCATTTCTGTCATGTGACCTGCCTCCAGTAGGCTGGGCAGCTTTTAAAAAACTTATATAATTGCGAAGAAAGAAGCAGGCAGGGTTATATCTAATGATAATTAGAATTTAATGCATCCCTAACTAGCTTTTAATATTGTTTTAAATTAGTGGAGAGTCCATATTCTTTTTTTGAGTGCGTTGACCAAGCCTCTTCTAGGTAGAAAATTGCTCCATGGCCCTTTTTGAAAACAGAAATTTATCCTCCTGTTTCCTTTTATATCCTGCCTTTCCTCCATGGGGCTGAGGGGTGACCTGGACCAATAGAAAAAAGAGCAGGGGGAATCCCTAGAAAGAGATCCCTTTAAAGGAACCAATTCATGCAGACACACTAGTGATCACAATGGGCAGGAACCAATTTGGTACAGTCTTCTATGCGGAGGGGGAAAATCCTGCAGTAATTATATGTCTGTCCCAGGAGGGGGGGAAATACCCTGCTCATCTTGAGAATTAAATTGCTTGCAAGGGGATCTGAGCAGGGGGAAACTAGACAATATCTTACTATAGGGAGGGGTGGAGGAGGAGGAGGAGAACATCCATTGGGGTCCATCTAGGTTAGTGGTCAGCAACCTTTTTCAGCCAGGGGCCAGTCCACCATCCCTCAGACCATGTGGGGGGCCGGACTATATTATGAAAAAAATATATGAACAAATTCCTATGCCCCACAAATAACCCAGAGATGCATTTTAAACAAAAGCACACATTCTACTCATGTAAAAGCACGCTGATTCCCGGACCGTCTGCAGGCCGGATTGAGAAGGCAATTGGGCCAGATCCGGCCCCCGGGCCTTAAGTTTGCTGACCCCTGGTCTAGGTCAAAGGTCAGTACTGCCCTACACTGACTGGCAGCCTTTCTTTAGGGCAGGGGTCAGCAACCTTTTTCAGCCGTGGGCCAGTCCACCGTCCCTCAGACCTTGTGGGGGGCCGGACTATATTTTTTTGGGGGGGGAAATGAACGAATTCCTATGCCCCACAAATAACCCAGAGATGCAGTGTTCTGTTGGAAGTCGCCCAGAGTGGCTGGGGAAACCCAGCCAGATGGGCAGGGTATAAATAATAATAAATTGTTGTTGTTGTTATTAAAAGGACACATTCTACTCATGTAAAAACACGCTGATTCCCGGACTGTCCATGGGCCAGATTTAGAACGCGATTGGGCCGGATTCCCAGCCCTCCCTGCTAATGTCAGGGACTGAACCTGGAGCCTTCATAGAAAAGAGATGCTCTACCTCTGAGCTGTGGTCTTTGCCAAAGAAAGGGAGTAATTTAAATGAAAGTCAGGTGTATTCACAACCCTGGGAGGCTCATTTCCATATTTGCCCCAGGCCACCTAACGGATTTACTGAGAATCTGAGATGTAAAGCCATAGGCCCAAGGCCACATCTGCCCAGCTGAAAATGGGATGATCAGCTATTCAATTTTATTGTATTTTACATCCCTTCTTCTCAATAGACACTGGAATTGGGAGGGGTGGGCCTGTGGCTCTCCAGATGTTGTTGGACTATAAGTCCCATCTTCACTGGCCATGGCTGGTGGGAGTTGGAGTCCAACAAGGGTTGAGATCTAGATGACCTTTGGGTCCCTTCCAGCTCTTACAAATTCTGTGAAGAACCCAGAGGGCTGCCATTTCTCCATCCAAATCCTGCAAAGGGTCTTTCATTGGGTCATCCGCTTCCTTGGCAACCAATATCACTTTGGGTTAAAAAGAAAGAAAAGGCGTTAAGTTCCGGAATCGGTGATTTCGATGTGAAGTAAACAGCATTATCTCATCAGGGGGAATGAAGTGATAAGAGGGAGAACAACTATATCTAATCAAGATAAGAGATAGCAAGAGATAACAGCATTTTGTGATTTCCGGAGGTGGCAGCTGAAAATCTCTACCCCAAATAAGCTTAGCCTGGGTGGAAGGGAGCTGTCAAGTCAGGTGACCACTTGTCATGGTAAAGGCATCATGGGAAATATACAGGATGACATCCAGCTACTCAAGGTAGACCAATCCGAAGGCAGCCCCGTATAGGGAAGTTGTTAATGTTTGGTATTTTATTGTGTTTTTAATATTCTGTTGGGAGCCGCCCAGAGTGGCTGGGACAACCCAGTCAGATGTGTGGCACATAAAATAATAATAATAATAATAATAATAATAATAATAATAATAATAATAATAGTAGCAGCAGCAGCTTTCCACCTTCTCTCCCCACCTTGGTATTTTATTCTGGGACGCCCTTCGCTGGCTGTTTCTCTCAGCAACTGCTGTTGGGGCTTTCGTGCAAGCCAGCTGCTGTGTACAGAATCGGAGAATCAACCCCCTGCCCACATTTGTCCCTGGGTGGGCTCAAATAGTTAACAGCAAGACCTACTGTGCTACAGTAATTATTATGATTACTATTATTATATTACTTCGCCCATCTGGCTGGGTTGCCTCAGCCACTCTGGGCGGCTTCCAACACACATAAAAATTATAATAAAACATTAATAGTAACAATCTGATCCAGTATGAAATGTCACGATAGCTTTAAAATAAACAACTTCTAAATAATAATAATAATAATAATAATAATAATAATAATAATAATTATTATTTATTTATTTATACCCCACCCATCTGGCTGGGCTTCCCCAGCCACTCTGGGTGGCTTCCCAAAAAATATTAAAATACTGTAATACATCAAACATTAAAAGCTTCCCAAATAAGTGCAAAGTATCCCTGAGAAGAAGCCCAGCTCTTTCTTCCAGTTTGGCAAAGTGGTGCTTTTGAGCTGCCCAGTCCCTGGAAATCCCTGCAGCCTCCCTTCTCAGCCTGGGGTCTCCAGCTGTTGCTGGACTCCAACTCCCATCATCCCTAGCCAGAATGGTCAACGGTCAGGGGTGGTAGGATTTGTGATGCAGCCACCTCTGGGGACTCAGTGTTGGGAAAGGCGGTGGAGGGAAAGTGGCTTAGATGCTCATCCAGAATTCCTCAGTCAGAAGATCCTGCAATGGCCGGTAGGATTTCCCTGAAGAGAGGCAGTGTGGTGTAGTGGTTATAGTGCTTGACCAGGACTGGGGAGACCCCACTTCAAAGCCCCCCCCCCGAGCCACCAGGCTCCCTGGCTAACTTTAGGCCACTCACTGCCTGTCACCCCCAAGCACATGGTTGCTTTGAGGATAATAATAATAATAATAATAATAATAATAATAATATACTCCACCTGCCTAGATAAAATGGGGGGAGAGGGAGATTCTTCAGCTCCTTGGAGTCAGGGTGGTGTGGTGGTTAGAGCAGCCTTTCCCAACATTTCCAGATGTTATTGGACTACAACTCCCATCATCCCTGACCTGCTGGCTAGAGATAATGGGAGTTGTAGTCCAACAACATCTGGCGATCCCAGGTTGAGAAAGGCTGGGTTGGTAGTGTGTGAGACCAGGGCTTCTCAGAGTCCCAGGAAGCTAGGATTTCATTGCAGTTCTGGCGGGTTAACTATTCACAAGAGAATAACATATTCTCAGCTAAATTGCAGTGGGTGTTTTATATATATATACAGTAACACACACACACACACACACACACACACAACACACACACAACACACACACAAATCCAGAGGGAGAGCCCAGTTAGTCTGTTGCAATTACACAAACACACACAATCCCTCTGGGAAAATACACAATTATTGTATTTTAATTTTTTGTTGGAAGCCGCCCAGAGTGGCTGGGGAAACCCAGCCAGATGGACAGGGTATAAATAAATAGGTTGTTGTTTTTTGGTTGTTGTTTTTTTGGTTTTTTTCTCCCCAGGCCCTTTTAGTGGACTGGCTAAGTTTGGGAGCTGCCAAGTTCAAATTTCTTCTTTCACCATCTCTCAGCTTCAGCCCCTCCTCTGAACACTGGCTTGTTATAACCATTCCTCAGTTGATCTATGGGGAGACACTGGGAACAGAACAATTAGCTCTTTTCCAAAGGGAGGTTCCTCTGTGGGCTCAGAAGATATCTTCTAGACATTCTCCCAGACCACTCTGTGCATGCTTTGTATAGAGAAAGAGCTAAGGTTCAATACTTATCACTTGAAAAAGAACCTGGAAGTCTCTCGCTTGGAACTCCCGCAATGGCAGCAAATTTGCTGTATCGGGTGAGACGATGTGGGGTTTTGTGTTCCAGTGAAGTAACGTTTACATTTAAAAATTAAAGTTTGCATTTAGAAATTGATATTCTTACAGCTTCTTGGAGAGCTCAGTTGGTAGAACACGAGGCTCTTCATCTCAGGGTCGTGGGCTTGGGCAAAAGATCCCTGAATTTCAGTGGGTTGGGCTAGATGACCCGCGGGGTCCCTTCTGTAGTTCTATAACCTTAAATAACTTACCTCTATGTGAATGCTAGACACACATGGAATGAATGGGTAGGAGGAAGGGGGAACAGAGGATTCTTTTGAGTTAGACTGTTTATGAGTACAGTGGTACCTCGGGTTAAGTACTTAATTCGTTCCGGAGGTCCGTTCTTAACCTGAAACTGTTCTTAACCTGAAGCACCACTTTAGCTAATGGGGCCTCCCGCTGCCGCCGCGCCGCCAGAGCACAATTTCTGTTCTCGTCCTGAAGCAAAGTTCTTAACCTGAAGCACTATTTCTGGATTAGCAGAGTCTGTAACCTGAAGCGTCTGTAACCTGAGGTACCACTGTATTTGTTACTGAAATGGCACAAATAAAAGTATTCTTAAAAAGAGCTGTCATGAAGCAGAGACATTGGTCCTTTATATCAGCCATCTCCCTAGGCACAAAGGATGCCGAAAGACTGCTAGCACTGGGGACAACCGTACCTCCAGTGGGAGGGAGTTCCACAGACAGGGTGCCATAACAGGGGAGGCCCTGCTCTGAGTTGCGCCATAAGATCTACAAGCAGGGCCTGCCTTGCAGAGCTTAAGGTGCAGGCTGGCAAATAATGGTAGAGGCCTTCCTTTAAAAACCCAGCACCTTAAATTGGGCCTGACAGCAAACAGACAGCCAAGCGTGGCTCTTTTAGGACGTGCGAGATGTGCTCCTAGTTTCCGGTGCTTCTCCAGAACTTAGCAGCCACAATCTGTACCAGCTGCAGCCTCCAGAGCACTGTCAAAGGCACATAGAGGGTTTATTTTATTTTTTTATTAAAGATGTCGTTGTTTTACAGAAGTATGTGTAATGTCTCTCGTATTTTTTCCATGTAACATTTTTACAAATCAGTTTAAAGGCACATAGAGTTGTGCATCTTATCATCGTTGTGGTTATTGCTGTTATTTTTTAAAATACAGTGGTACCTCAGGTTACATACACTTCAGGTTACATACGCTTCAGATTACAGACTCCGCTAACCCAGAAATAGTGCTTCAGGTTAAGAACTTTGCTTCAGGATGAGAACAGAAATTGTGCTTCGGGGGTGCGGCGGCAGCAGGAGGCCCCATTAGCTAAACTGGTGCTTCAGGTTAAGAACAGTTTCAGGTTAAGTACAGACCTCCGGAACGAATTAAGTACTTAACCTGAGGTACCACTGTAACATTCTTGCTGTTGTTCTTTAAATGCAGAGAATGAACTGAACCGACCCACATGTACGAAGAGGGTCACATGATGAGATACATAACTTTCCCTGAATCCAGATCTCTCCTCTTATTTTTTTAGCCACCCCGCGGAAACAAAGGCGTGAGCGCACGACCTTCACCCGAGCCCAGCTGGATATTTTGGAGGCTCTCTTCGCCAAGACCCGCTACCCAGACATCTTCATGCGCGAGGAAGTGGCTCTGAAGATAAATCTTCCTGAATCCAGAGTTCAGGTGGGGCTCCGCTGGGGATGGGGCGAAGGGCAGCAGGCCGAGACAGGCACAGGGGCCGGGAGACTCGAACCGGGAGCGAGGTGTCTTGCTTTCTGAACACCCTGGCAGTGAGCACATGCTCTCAGCTGCACTTATGTGCCAGCATTACGGGTGGCCAAAGGGGACCTGTAAGAAAATAAAGGAATTTTGGGATGTAATTTATAATGAGCTCAAAATAATGATCAAGGTTAAAGGGTAAAGGGACCCCTGACCATTAGGTCCAGTCGCGAACGACTCTGGGGTTGCGGCGCTCATCTCGCTTTATTGGCCGAGGGAGCCGGCGTACAGCTTCCGGGTCATGCGGCCAGCATGACTGAGCTGCTTCTGGCGAACCAGAGCAGCACACAGAAACGCCATTTACCTTCCCGCCGGAGCGGTACCTATTTATCTACTTGCACTTTGACGTGCTTTCGAACTGCTAGGTGGGCAGGAGCTGGGACCGATTCGAACCACTGACCTTCCAATCGGCAAGTCCTAGGCTCTGTGGTTTAACCCACAGCGCCACCTGTGTCCCTTTAATGATCAAGGTATCCTTCATTAAAAAAAACTGGAGGCTTTCCTCCTGGGGATATTAGGCCCAGACATACCAAAAATGCGAGAGAAATATTTGTACTGTTTTATTGTTGTCAGCCGCCCTGAGCCCAGCTTCGGCTGGGGAGGGCGGGATATAAATAAAATTTATTATTATTTTATTATTATTAATATTAATATTATTGTATTCCACGGTAGCTACAAGAATATTAATCGCTACGAATTGGAAAGCTGGAGTGGTTTGTAAAAAGAAACCTGAGTGCTCATTGGAGGCAGAGGTCCTCATATACACTCAGAGTAGACCTATTGGCATGAATGGCCATGTTCCATTTCAATAGGTCTACCCCGAGTGCAACTACAAGGATTCAACCCCATGCATTTCATAGAATCGTAGAATTGGAAGTCATATAGTCCAACCCCCTTCAATGCAGAAATCTTTTGCCTATGGACCCACAGCTTAAGATTAAGAGTCTCCTGCTGTACCGACTGAGCTATTCATGTAAAACACTCACTCTATCAAAAGCGTCATGGGCTGTCTGTGCAAAGAATCCTGGGAACTGTAGTTTGTTGGGGGTGTTGGTCCAAGGCGCCTTAAACTACAGTTCCCATGGTTCTTTGGGAGAAGCCATGACTCTTAAAGTGAGAGTGCTTTCAATGCGTGGTGTGGATGTGTTCAAAAAGGTCCCATGGTTTTTCTTCTTCTTCTTTCTTTCTTTTCTTTTCTTTTTATTTGTTTAATTTTTTTTTGGATCCCATGATTTTTAGGAGTCGGTGTGTGGTTTTGTGTGCATGCAGAGTGCCCTCTGGTGGGAGCACACATTGTTCCTGTCACATCCTGTTAGGCATCTCTCCCTCAGGAGGCCATTCCCACAATAGGCCACTAAGCCTCTGGGACCTCCCTTTCCGCCGAGGCACACTGCACTCAAATCTCTGCCACAGTCTGGCCATATTTGTATCCTGGCTGCCATCTTTCCTTGTAAGGCTGCACAGGTACTTTGCAAAGAAAACTGAGGCCAGGAGCAAACTCCCATCCTAGTTTGCTTTAACATGCTCCATTCACATAGGTGCCTGCGCATTATCCCAAGTCAGGGAGTGGGGATGAAAGGCTGAAGCAGCCATCTTATTGCATAGGGTTGCCATGTTTCAAGAAGTGGAGAAAATCCGGACATAAAAGTGGTTGAGCTTTTTCTCCTGCAAAATCTCCCCAAAATTGGGAAATTCCAGACACCCGGCAGCCCTATATTATAAAAACCCATTATTGGGTTGCAGGAAACTTCCTGTTATAGCAGAGGAGCCTAGGACCCATGTACCTACGGGACCGCCTCTCCTGGTATGCCCCGCGGAGGACCTTAAGGTTCACAAATGACAACATTTTGGAGGTGGTTAGTTTGGTCTCAGCTAGGGCCAGGGCCTTTTCAGTACTGGCCCCGACTTGGTGGAACGCTCTGTCACAAGAGACTAGGGCCCTGCGGGACTTGACATCTTTCCACAGGGCCTGCAAGACAGCTGTTCTGCCTGGCCTTTGGTTTGGACTCGGTCTGACTGACCCTTATGTCTTCCCTCCCCTTACAGTTTTGATTTATGGGCTACTTTTAAAATGAGGCTGCTTTTTAAATTGCATTTTAACCTGTATTTTAAATTGGGATTTTTGTTTGTTTTGTCCCCCCCCCATTATGTTTCTATTGTAATTTTACTGGTGTTAGCCACCCTGAGCCCGGGGGGTATAATTTATTATTATTATTATTATTATTATTATTATTATTATTATTATTATTAAATTGAAACACAGACAGGATGTGCCAAAGGTGTTGACATTTGGCCCTCCAGATGTTGCCAAACGACAACTCCCATCAGCCCCAACAGTGCCAGCAAAAACAAGGCCAAAAACAAGCTCCCCACACCCAATTTCCTGGAACACTTTCTCGCGTTTATAAACTTCTCCAAAGTTACCAGGTTGGGCTCCTCCTATGAACTTCTGAATCCCCCGCCTCGTGTTCCGTTGAAATGGTTCCCAGGGAAACGCCGACCCTTCCTTTTGGTTTCCCCCTCAAGCTCATCCTTTCTCGCCTTCCCTCCCCACAGGTGTGGTTCAAGAACCGCCGAGCCAAGTGCCGCCAGCAGCAGCAGCAGAGCAGCGGGCAAGCCAAGGCCCGGCCTGCGAAGAAGAAGACCTCTCCGGCCCGGGAGACCAGCTCTGAGACCAGCACCAACGGGCAGTACAGCCCTCCGCCGGCTGGCACCTCGGTGACGCCCAGCTCCAGCGCGAGCGCCACTGTCTCCATCTGGAGCCCGGCCTCCATCTCCCCGATCCCGGACCCCCTCTCCTCCTCCACCACCCCCTGCATGCAGCGCTCCACTGCCTACCCCATGACTTACACCCAGGCTCCCGGCTACACGCAGACCTACGCCGGTTCTACCTCCTACTTCAGCGGCCTTGACTGCAGCTCCTACCTGTCTCCCATGCACCCGCAGCTCTCCGCGCCGGGGGCCGCGCTGAGCCCCATCACCACCCCAACCATGGGCAGCCACCTGAGCCAGTCGCCGGCCTCCCTCTCCAGCCAGGGCTACGGCACGGCCGGCCTGGGGTTCAGCTCCGTGGATTGCCTAGACTACAAGGACCAGGCCGCCTCCTGGAAGCTCAACTTCAACGCCACCGACTGCTTGGATTACAAAGATCAGAGCTCCTGGAAGTTCCAGGTCTTGTGAAAGAGTCTCCATCCTTCCTTTGCAGAGCATCCTGGGACAACCTCTTCTGTCCAAGCTCGACATTGAGGCCCCTGGCTGCTTCTCCTTTCCCCCTCTCCCCCCTTCTTCTTTCTTTAAGAGGAGGCATTCTTCTCCTCGCCAGCATTGCACGTACTGTAGCATTGCTTTGTTTTTCTGCGCTGTTTTCGGAATCGCCCTCATCCGGCAACGAGGCAGATCCGTGCGGATGTTAGGAACTCGTGTACAGCCTTCGTTTCACACGCCCAGGCCCTGGACGTGTCATTCCTTCAGATTCTTGGCCTGGACTCAGTGACTTGACAGCTCGTGAAACCCTCGCGACAACTGGGGTGGCATTTGGAACCTCTCTCCTGGAAGTAGACCGAGACTGGAAGCAACACCAGAAGATCAGAGGTTGTTGGAGTTTTCACAGGGTGTGTTAGAGGTGCCACGGCAGAGGCAAAAGTTTTCAAAAGAGCCACGTTTTTAGAAGCCAGGTTGCTTTCTCAAATGATATTTTAACGACGACAACAGACTGGGTTAGCAGAGACAGGGGCAAGCAACGGCTCACAGTTTGGTCCATCCTTTTTCCTAATGGAAACGAGCAATTCCAGCACCATGGACTTAAGCACATGCTCCATATCCCTGATCATCAAGAGGTTTTATTTCAGCCCGTTCCCTCCTGCCTGAAGTGTAGTGCATTGCTCAAGTCGACACCAGCAAGCCGGCACTCTGGTTTGGCGGGGTTTGATTGTTTCGTTGTTTTCAGAGCCAGTTCAAGACATTTTGCCACCTGAAGACAAAGGAGAAGCTGGTGCCTCTCGTCCAATTTCCACGTACAGAAGCCAAGCAGACCGGCAGTCAAATCTTGCTTTGACACTGGCGACTGGCTCCCCTGCGCTTGAGAGCGGCAGGCTCAGCCTGCAGGACAGCCCTAAAAACACCTGCAGATCTACTCCCCACCCCTTAGCATTGGCTGCCTGAGTCAGCTGCTGCATTCTGTCTCATGGTAGGGCCGGCTCTGCTTCTTCTTTTCCCATGCTCTGTGCTTTATGGTGAGAGTATACCAACATCAGGCATCTGAAACCTTCCCCCCCCCCCCCGTTTCTGCTTTTGGGACTCCTCGTTAACCTCTGACCCTCCCATTGCAGACAGTATTGCTCACTTCACATTCCTATGCATGTCTAGTCAGAAGTAATTAATCAGGTAGCTCAATAGATATTTTCTTAAAAAAAACAACTTTTGATAAACTAAAAAAAAGTGCTCTAGTATTTTTAAAAAATACTTTTAATTCAATGAATTATAAAAGCTGCAGAGAACAATGGGTATCTTAGAAGAGGCATCTCTCTCTCCCCCCTTACACACTGGAAGAGGGAATGTCTCTTCTCAGATGATAATAATAAATCATGATTTTTTAATTTATATCCCACCCCTCTGGCTGGGTTTCCCCAGCCACTCTGGGCGGCTTACAACATGTATAAAAACATGTATAAAAACACAACAATCAAACATTTTTTAAAAATCCTATACAATCAACAAACCAATAATTGGAATAGAAAGCAATAACAACAACAATTATAATAACAATAATAACAGTTTACCCAACTGTTGTACCCAACTGACACATGAACATCACCTAAAAAGCAAAGTGTGCTTTTTTGCTTCAGAACTACTGAAATTTGGTCAACGAATCAATTTGTTGACGAAAACACATTGTCTAGAATTTCTTTAATCAGGTGACAGCTGATTAATATTTTAAAAGCTTGCATACGAGTAGCAGAGGAAGATATGCAGATGGTGCTTGGTAATGTTTTGCCTGCCATGTTCCCAGGATCTCCTCTTACACAAAAGCAAGTTTCTAGTCCCCCTGGTTGTGGAGAAAGCTTGGGAACGACTCCCTTTCCATCCACACCCAATTGAGCCTGCTCCACTCAAGGGGATGCCGTGTCCATCACAGAGAGAAGGACATCTCCCTTTCTGGCTAGACTGAGATCTAGCCTTGTGGGACTTCCCCAAACATAAAGTCAAGGAGGAGGGTAGCAGATTCACCAACAGAAAACGACCAGCTTAAAAGTACAGCACTGCCTCTGCCGTAAATCTCATAGGACCTCACCTAGTTTGTTCCTGACAACCTAGGAAAAGCCATGCGTTCTGTAATGTAATGGCCCAGTTTTATGGAACTTTTTTCCAGTTGATGTCAGACAGGTCCCCTCCCTGTTGAACTTCCCAAATACTTTTTTAAAAATAAAAATTCCAGGAGAGTTTTAACTGACTTCTGATTTTTACGTTCATCGAGGGTTTTTTGGTACACCGCTTAGAGACATTTGTGATTAAGCGGTTTGTAAATTATTATTATTATTAATAATAATGGCTGTTGCTGCTGCTCTGCTTCCTCATCCTAACTAATCTCCGCATTTTACAAAAACAGATTATTATTTTTGTAGTTAGGAAAGTGCACTGGAAAGTGTGGGGTGAAAAGGATGTAATGCAAAACCCCCACAAGCAAATTGGGATTTCTGCTCCATGTCTCGTAACCATCCCCACAAACAGATCAGAACAATTGTTTGATAAAGACCAGGCCTAGTCAAAGCTCCGCATAAGCTTTGTGCAAGCAAATCAGGGCAAATGCCCAATAACTAGGCCTTCTGGGAGAGTTTGAAATCTTTCCTATCCCTGGACACCCAGGATTTGAACCTGGGACCTTCTGGATGCAAACAAAAATAGTCTACTACTGACCTGTGGGTGTATATATATTGCCTCAGTGAATTTTGTTTGATCCTTTGGTATTTTGGATAGTACCAAAATTCCTTTCAGTGCTCAATCTTTTGTATCCTGTACAACATGAAATAATTAACGCAGGATAAATTTTAACTAGAGGAGAGATGTGGGGTGAGGCTTAACTTTCCCAGCATCTGATTTCATCTGGGGTGGGGTGGGAAAACAAAGTGTTTAAACAGTTCAATAAGCATTTGTAAATAATATGATTACTCCCCTTCCCTTAAAAACAAAAATTGCAATGGGTTTTTAAATTTTAGAAAGTTCTATTTTGTAAATGATATTCAACATTTTTTTAGTCTAGGTTTCTTAGCTGTAATACCTTCTTCTTTCTCTTTTTTTAAAAAAAGAAACGACGACATCCTCTTGCTGTAGATGAGAAGCATTCCCATGGAAGTTGTTCTGTCAGTGGTTTTCTCTATTTATTACTTAGTTTGTGATGAGCAATTTCCTGTACAGTTACCAAAACAAAACAAAACAAAAAAGATTGTTGGTGGTTTTAAAAAAATATAAAATATTAAAATGTAAAAAAAAAAAAATAGGTGAAAAGGAACAGTGGCTCTGTGTGATTTTTGTTGTTAATGATTTCGGCTGCTACTTAAAACAATCAATTCTGCGAAATTAGGGCAATTGCTGCGGTCTGCAGGCTAGAATTGAAGATTTGTTGTTTAGTCGTTTAGTCGTGTCCGACTCTTCGTGACCCCATGGACCAGAGCACGCCAGGCACTCCTGTCTTCCACTGCCTCCCGCAGTTTGCTCAGACTCATGCTGGTAGCATCGAGAACACTGTCCAACCATCTCATCCTCTGTCGTCCCCTTCTCCTTGTGCCCTCCATCTTTCCCAGCATCAGGGTCTTTTCCAGGGAGTCTTCCCTTCTCATGAGGTGGCCAAAGTACTGGAGCCTCAGCTTCAGGATCTGTCCTTCCAGTGAGCACTCAGGGCTGATTTCCTTAAGAATGGATACGTTTGTGGTAGAATCCAGGATGGAGACAGGAGTCGTAGGAGAGTTTAAAAATCAAACAGCTTCTGCAAATGTTTGGAAGTGGCCAGAAAATTAGGTGAATAGATTCTACCCTATTTATATTCCTATACATTTTTCTGTCCATCTAATATATATTTGGGGGAGGAAGAGCTCGAAGGAGAATTTATTGCTAAATGCATTTCAGAATAGTTTGCAGAACAAAAAGAGAACCTTGCCTTTAAAAAAGAAAGCTGATGATTTTGAGTGGCGTGCTTCCATCTCCAGGGATTTATTGGCAACCAAACTCCACAGTGCATTGTGCTGAGAAAAAGCACCTGTTCATTCCTTCATGGCAGCCAATAAAATGATACTTAACAGAACCAAAGGAAATGTTCATTAACGGAGAAGCATCCTCCCAGGTCTCTCTGTGCGTACGCAGTTTTGAACACAGAATTTCGGTGCAGAATTTGAGGCTGGAGGCAGGTTTTTGTTTTTCCCAGAGAGCTGAAAGCACTCTGGAAGTGGGGTGGCTGTTGGGAGTCTAAACACACCTCCGATTTCTGCGTCTGGTTTGGCAGGTTTTGTATTTCTACAAATGTGTTTTGACCAAAGTTGACAGTGGAGCAAAAGATTATAGCTGGTGTTGATAAGCAATAGTTTTTAAAAGTCGCTTGAGAGAGAGGCTTTGCCTCTCATGGTGCAGGCACACAATCAGTAATTTATGTCTGATCCAAAGAGTTTTTAAAGCATCTGAAACCTGCCAAACCTGTTTGCCGGACCAGCCAACTTTCTTTCAAATCACCTTCCAATCTCTAACAAAAGGGGTCACGTCCCCAGCCTGGGTTCCTCCAGATCATGGGTAGGCAAACTAAGTCCCGGGAGCCAGATCCGGCCCAATTGCCTTCTAAATCTGGCCTGTGGACGGTCCAGGAATCTGCGTGTTCTTACATAAGTGGCATGTGTGCTTTTATTTAAAATGCATCTCTGGGTTATTTGTGGGGCATAGGAATTCGTTCATTATGATTATTTTTTCAAAATACAGTCCGCCCCCCCCCCAAGGTCTGAGGGACAATGGACCAACCCCCTGCTGAAAAAGTTTGCTGACCCCTGCTCCAGATGTTTCGGGCTGTGGCTTGGTGATGCAACACATCTGGAGAGCACCAGGTTGAGGAACGTTGCTCCAGGCCGAGCTAACACCATTAGAACGGATCCTGTCTCAAGCCACTTCCTATTCTCTTTTTTTAAAAAAATTATAGGCCACCAAGGGCAACTCCCATTCTATCATAAAAACATAATGGTTGTTTTTTTAAAATCCTTTTAAAAAAAGGAGACTCTTAATCTCAGGGTTGTGGATTCGAGTCCCACGTTGAGCAAAAAGATTCCTGTATTGTGGGGGGTTGTGCTAGATGACCCCCCCAGGGTGCCTCCAACTATGATTCTATGTGTATATTAGTCAGAGCCTCTTGGATAGGATCGTGCCTGCTGGATAGCTTTAGCATACAGTGGTACCTCAGGTTAAGTACTTAATTCATTCCAGAGGCCCGTTCTTAACCTGAAACGGTTCTTAACCTGAAGCACCACTTCAGCTAATGGGGCCTCCTGCTGCTGCCGTGCCGCCGGAGCACGGTTTCTGTTCTCATCCTGAAGCAAAGTTCTTAACCTGAAGCACTATTTCTGGGTTAATGGAGTCTGTAACCTGAAGCGTATGTAACCTGAGGTACCACTGTACTCAGGAATCAAAAGTTTTGTGTCTCTTTTTTGTAGGAAGTGCATACTTTTCTGGGCATTCATCAATTCCCATTTTCTGTGTTCTGTGACGCCGGCAGCAATGTCCACAGCAGTTATGAAGAAGGCCGGCTGAAACGAATAATGGAGACTAATGTCACCACCAGCAGAGCTATATTTTGTCAACGCAGCTCTCTTTTTCTTTAAAAAAAGGCCATTCCAGAAAAATGAGGCTGCAGGTCCTTTCTCCATCCTGGGTTCCCTTTGCACGAGCTTCCAATTTCAGATGCTGGGTGCTGTTATCTGGCTTGGGTGTGCGATGCCCTCGCTTTCCAGAAACTCTTCCTGTCGTCCGGACTCGGTAACCGACCCCAGCCCGCACTTGCCATTTGTTATTTTTGCTTATTTAATTTAGCAAATGCCCCAATCCTCTTAAGGCCGCTGCTCTCGCCCTCCCTCCCTCCCTCCACCCCCCCACTGCGCAGATTGGTAACTGAATTAGAAGGGATTATGGGACCCACTAAGGATGACAAATTGGTTCTTCGATGCTGGGTGACAGCTGCCCAGGGTGGCGCTGCCAGCCGAGTCGCCCTGGGTAACCTTTAATTAAACAGGACTTGGGACCGTGCGCCGAGGGGAAGGCGGGGCTTAAAACAGGAAAGGTAGTTGGAGGACCATGGGGAAGACTGAAGTGGCCCCTTGGCCTAAATGCTCCTATTGCAAAGTTGGGCGGAAGCAACTGCGCAGACGTCGCTGCGGTTTCTCGTAACCCTCGTGCGACCCATTTCCGGTGAAAATCATGTTTTGAGTTGATATCTTTGGAGTTATTTTTATAATGGGCTTCTATAGCATCAGCACATGAGGTGCTTTACTGAGGAGCACTGGCCAAAATTACAGGCCTCCGCCCCGAGGGAAATACAGTGAAAGAGGTGGTGCAGATGTTAGTATTGTACTGCTGGCTTCTTGCTCCCATAAACATCTATTCGCAATAATAATAATAATTTATGCCCTGCCTTTTCCCCTAGCGGGACTCAAGGCGGCGTACAGATACAAATAAGAACCATGGGGAACATACCGTACAATCATTAAAAACAATTAAACAGTAATAGAATTTTAAATTCTACACACATATAACATCTTGAGTGGTAGTATGATATCTGCAGACTCCGGGAAGATCCTAATAATAACGGTAACATAATGGTAATAATTAATTATCATGTGACCTTTCACAATTCCCTCGCTTGACATGCGAAGAGAATCGCTTTCTTTAAAAACAGAAGATAGTTGAAAAGATCTGTAGCAATTATGCTGTGATCTCAGTCACGGCATGTTGCCGTTTTAAAGTGTGTACCTAGATTATTTTTCCTAACGGTCTTAATGAGCCTGCAGTTTGCCCTGTTGGGTTTACATGTCACGGAAGAACAGAGTTTCTCTGTCCCTTATTCACACATGCAAACCAGGACGATGCTGGAATCAAGGAACGAGGGCAGCTTCTTTTTTAGGCCAAACAAAATGTCACAAGATAGGTTTCCATATTTATTTTCTAAGGGTGGGTGTTAAGCAAAGCAAGAAATTGGGGTGGGGGAGCAGGGGGAGAGAAATGCAGCAATTGTCTCAATCTTAAAATGGAGCGTTGGAAGAGGAGACCACAAACCTAAGCCCATTAGATGGGAGCAAGCTCTGTGGAATTCAAGCAGCTATTACATCATTATTATTTGAAAATTCATCAAGGCGGCTTGTAGCATGTAAAACACAAGGAGCTCGGTCTACAAATACAGTGGTACCTCAGGTTAAGTACTTAATTCGTTCCGGAGGTCCGTTCTTAACCTGAAACTGTTCTTAACCTGAAGCACCACTTTAGCTAATGGGGGCTCCAGCTGCCGCCACGCCGCCGGAGCACAATTTCTATTCTCATCCTGAAGCAAAGTTCTTAACCTGAAGCACTATTTCTGGGTTAGCGGAGTCTGTAACCTGAAGCGTCTGTAACCTGAAGCGTATGTAACCTGAGGTACCACTGTGTGTGTGTGTGTGTGTGTGTGTGTGTGTATATATATATATATATATGCTTTCGTAGATTTTCACGGGTACAGGAATGCAGGTTTTGGTGTCCTCGGGTGTCTTCCCGTGTAAAAGTTGGGGTGTCTAGGCGACGTTTCGACGAGGTCTCACTCGTCATCTTCAGGCTGGTGCTTTCGGCTTCTTGTTACTGGAACAGAGCAGGATCTCAGTGTTTGAGTTCCTATAAATACTGTTGAGGGGGTGTGGTGTATAGCCTCCAATGTTCTGGGCAGAGAGGAAGTTCCCAGGCTAGTGTGCCTTTTCTTCTTTTGTTCCTTAATTACTTGAGGGATATCTTGAGTGATTTCTTGAGTGATATTCTGAGTACCACTTAGGTGGGTCATTAGGTGTGGATTAGTTGCTAAAGCCTTCGTGTCTTGACCTCTTGAACTTTGTGAAGAGTTTTTCTGAGAAGATGGCTGTACTGCACTTAGTTGTGCTCTGGCTTGGCTTCGTGTATAGGGGCGAGCTGTGGTTTTGTGTCCTGTGCCAGCCAGATCTGTGTAGGGATTGCAGGGGGGTGCAGCATCCGGAGGTGCCACCATGGTTTGGCTACTGGATGGTGTCTGTAATTTATCTGTGGAGAGGGTCTGGGTTTGGGTCTGGTGTGGTTGATTGGTGATGGCGTTCTGTGTGCCTCTGGATCTGGTGTCGGTTTTTGTGGGGAGGGCTAATTTCCAGATGTCTGGCAGGCGGGATGTGTCGTCACGCTTGTTCATGTTGTGAGGGTGTTTCTCTATCTCGATGGCTTCCATGATTATTCTCTTGTGGTGATGTTCCATG